TCTCATCCTTCCTTCCACACTGTAAGAAAGATTTTGACGAGCTGCACACAGGGATTAAAGATCAACTTTGCCGTCTAAAGGGAATGAGGCTTTATTTGCCTTTTGCAAAGTACTAGAATGGATACTCTGGGTACTCTGGATACTCTGGAATGTGTTTCTCATACCCAAAATTAAGGCCCCATTTCTTCTTCCCCCCCTCCCAGTCACATGACCCTACTAATGGCATATCACTGGCTGGTGCCTTTTCATTTATACATGATGGAGTGTGAGATCCAAACTCACCATGCTAACAACAAACTGAAAGGCACTTATTCTCATCCATGAGGTCCCCTTGCCTTTGCTGGTGGTAACAGGCCAGAAATTAATGCCCTGCTCTTTCCCCTGCTCTGCATCTGAAGCTTCTCCCGTGTCATACTCCCTGATTACCCTAACCTTACCCTAACCCTAACCCTAACCCTTAATAGGGCTGGGAAATGGGCAGCGCCGATTCCGAGATTATGCTAAACCTGGAGGCCAGCGTGTCATTGCTGGGTCCTGCTGGGTCATCGCAGGTTCAGTAACACGCCGATTAATTCAGGAAAGAGCAGCCTGCTCCCAGGCCTGATCGATACCCCTTTCCCTACCTCTGCGTCCATGTCATGCAATCATCGCCCCACGAGCAGCTTGCAGCACCGGTGCCTGTGATACTGAGCGCCACGCTGAGAAAAACATCTGAGTCTAATGGAGAGGAGTCGGCCCGGGTCTGGAACCTTGCTCTGCAACCATCTCCGAGGCCAGGTTTGCAGATAACTGGCTGAGACTTCGGCTTCCTGGACGGCTGGGACGAAGATCCCCGTATTCCTATCCTATTCCTATAAACGATCAGTCTCACAGTGAGTACACTGCAGACACCCATCTTCCTGACACATGAGCAATGCCAAACCAAGTCCAGTAATATAAAAGTCTTGAATGCTGAATGCATTCAACAGCAGCAGGCTGAAAAGATCAACCTGATGACCCGATGTAAATGGGGGTTTTCATTTACAGGGAGACCCAGTGGAGATACAGTACTCAAGCCCTGATCACCTACATAAAGGGCAGCTGCCCCTTAGCAACATCGCCAACAGGCTACTGTACTATAATACAAAATACTTCAGTCCTTTGTGTCCTGGGAGGAGAAAATGCATAATTAATAACACCAAGGTTAATATTCTTCATTAGCATGTAGCACAGCTATTGCAGAACTCCCCGATGCAGCAGTAAAAGCCAGTGTAATTTAGACAGAAGGCCCTTTGTCATGCAAAAGAAGCGTAAGGCTGAGACAAGCTCAGAGACAACAGGTACTAAATGAAATGTTATGGCACTGTTTTTCCCTACAGAGCGCCATAAAACAAAAAAAATAATTCTACTTTCTGTATTTCTCTCTATACATTTCTGTTTTGTGTCCACGTGTGAAAAGTTACGTTACTATAACAGTTTAATCTTGACTTAAACTATTCATGGTTTCTCAGCAGTTTTAAACATTAATGATTAACTTTAGTCTGTGAGCCTACTGGTGAAAGAGGGATGGATGGACAAAGAAAATTCAGACAAACGTGAACAGAATGAATTGAAAATAATCTGATATTTAAGACAAGTTATCAAAAGCTTCCAAACCCAGATATACTGGGAATGAGGGGATTCAGTACCTCTCTCTGCCACAGAAGGCGCAATAAGTGAAAACAATTCCCATTTAACTCGATGTATTGTAAAATCTGTAGTCATGTGATGCTGTGCCATAATCAAAGCCTGTGGCCCATTAATTTAATTTTATTTAATTAGTCTAATTCTATGATTAATCACTTTTGTTGCCTGTACTCGTTGCTCATGTACTACACATACATTATTGTTGGTGGCTTGACCGCACATTAGTGATGGATTAGAGGAGAATGGTTTGTTTACCTCACAGGTGTTTCTGATATTCACTAATTATGCTCTATATTTGATTACCAAGACAGCTGAGAGGAAATACCAAATGAAAAATACCAAATGACCAAGATTTTGAACCTAATTCTAATGATGCAGAACTGCTCACTTCAATGTTGTTCCTGCATTAATTTAATCCATGACTATAAAGGTTTTGCCGGCGTGTCCAGGAGTGGTGTACTGTATGGCTCTACCCAGCGGCTGACTGAACCGTCCATCAGAGACCAAACTTCTTGCTGATTCGCATCCACAGGCAACGAAAAGTCCCTGGTCTGCAGACAAGAGGCTGGCCATCACGTCCCAGCTCCCCGGAGTATGGGCCACACGTGGCGACAGGATCACGCGGACGCAGAGCGTCATGTCGGGCAGCGGCTGGTTCCGCTGGTTGCCTTGGTGACGTGCCAGAAAAAGAAACACGGCGGAGCCGGCTAGACCGCCTGCAGCTCCCAGACAGCGACACGGCGCCTTGGTCACCAGGGAGTCCTGATCCTGGGCTTGAAAGACTGATGGACACGCTGCTGCGTTGAGTACGCCGCTCACGTCTGTGCGGGAAGCGTCCTGGGCCGGGAACCCTGGGTAAGGCCGTGGCCGGCCGGCTGTAATGTACCGGTGGATGACAAAAGCGCCGTCTGAGAGGGATGAGAAGCCCGGCAGGCTTGAGGAATTCCGATGGCGCCGATAAGACCTTCGCCGCACTTTTGCTGGAGGGTTTTTGTCTTACATGAAAAAACGTCTGTAGCCCCTGCCCCAACGTAGAAATGGGAGCATGTCAATCATACCGATTATGTGCCAAGCTGCAATGAAGGGGAGCATACAGTCAACTGAATTATGGGTACAGGAGCATGTTCCCGAAGTTACTCTCATGTGGGAGACCTGTAGCTACATTCATTTAGCAAATGCTTTTATGCATAGCAGCGTTAGGGGGCCGCGCTCGGGGGCCCAACGGTGAAATTACTCTGCTAGCCCTGGGATATGAACCGGAAACCATCCAATCACACAATCAGGATCCTAACCTGCTGGGCCACACACTGCCCCCTGTATGGCATTGTGCACACACAGTATGTGGCCCATCCCCCAACACGTGCTGGCTCGAAGCCCGCCATCACAGAGCTTACATCACTCACTAAAGCACTGTTTTCCTGAGAATATTCCTGGCCAACACAGCCAACAGCAGAGCCTGAGTTAATACTTGAACATATACAATCAACATATCATTCACACCAATTTTATCATTCACAGCTCCATAAAAAAGGTTTAATATGCCAATATATAATGTAATTAAAGCCTTCAGGTTCAGGCATAACTACCACTGTCCAAGACTGAAAACAGCTGCTCCAATGGTATAACTAATACCCTTTTTTCAAAAGCTTGCAAACCTATTTTTCAGGGCACTACTTATTATAATTACGATAGTGATAAATATGCTAAAGTCATAAATTAGACACCGAAGAAGAGCCAGGGAGATGTGCTGCCGTAAATGGAGTTGAAGAATAACCGTAGAGTGCAGATTCAGCCCGAAGTTTCCCGCCTCTTTTGACACCAGTAGATGCTTGCTATTACCAGGAGTACAGAGAATCCCAAATACTGCTGTGAAGGATATCAATGTTTTATTTTCCCCAACACGGTTTGGCTGGAAGGTAACAAGCCTCCGGGGGGATACAGATTACTGGCAGCGACCCGAGTGCAGCAGTGGCGTGATTCTGTGTTGAAGAGGGCTTCCTCTCATCCTCTGCATCCCAGGCCTGATCTAATGGGATGACGTCATCATTGTAGATGTGCTCCCACAGGCTCTGCTGCCTAACCGTGAGAAACACACTCAACCTGAGCTGTTTCGGCACCTAGCTGTGTCAATGGCTACAACTGAAAATAACTTCAGTATCAAAAAGGCAACTTTCCCATAAATAGAAAGGTAACTGTACTTACTTAATATGCTTAATTTTGCAATATGACCATTTTGTATTCAATTGCCTTTTAATCAATTGTTAGCTCTTTTAGACATCCTTGAGTTTTGCTACTAATGTTACTAATTGAAGTTTGATGTGCTTTTTTCCTTCGTGGGCGTAGTGCGAGTTCCTTCACCTCCCCATTGCTTCTCGTGTGCGCCGTAGGTCACATGATGCAGAACTGGAATAGTAAAAGCAGTCAGACGGTCAAAGCAGGTGTGTGGGTGGTCCTAATACCACTAGAGATAGCATGGACGGGGACCGTGACCTTCGCCGGGATACACCTGCCCCGCGGAAAATCACAGCATTCTTCCATCCTGTCATTTTGTCACCATCTAAATGTCACAACAGGTGCCAGTCAGTATATGACAGAGCTGTCCACATCTCTCACCATGCCCCGGAGAGAAATGCAGGAAAGTGCGGCCTTCATTATTCGCAGAGTAGGTGAAGAAATAAATAAATAAAGAAAGCAGTGCATTAGCTCGCCATAATTCCAGGGACAGAGTGTTACAGCCCAAAGGTGCCTGAGTGAAGGTAAAACTTATTCTGTGATGCCAGGAAACATGGGTCAGCAGAACCGCGCTGAGCATGAATAAAAAGAACTCTCTCTCCATTAATGGCTCCTTTTTCAGATGCTCTCGTGGTCCCGGGCTTCTTACAAAGCCACGGGGGGGGGCGTGGAAGCGAGAGCTTTCTGCGTTACCCGCGTCAGGACCAGAGGCAGGAACCGCGGCGGCTCGATGCTGATCAGGTCGTGCCGGATAAATGTGCCGGGTGAAAAACTGACAACTGCTGCGGGGCGGAAGCCACTGGAAGACGGGGGAAGAATCCCGTCGGCCGCAGCGGGAGTCATTCTCATTTATTTCCTGACGTTTTTTGGAGCAGGTTTTCTCTAGCAGTTTGCATCGCTCCTTCAAGATCTTTAAATGTTAATATCAAGTATAAAAATTCAATTATCGGACACATTTTGCAACTGTGATATGTGAAGAGCCTCATTTCCAGTAACAAATTATTCTGCATTGGACACAAACGCCATAATAACATCATAATGGCTATATGACCATATATAAAGCTGTCCTTGTTCAAAGTGGTGAAGAAATTAACCATCTTTACCGTTGTCTATAGCAATGAAGACAGCACTGTACATGTTGTTGTGAACGAAGGAAGATTCTCGGTCCAAGATGGCCGTGGTGTTCACGGTGCCCTTGACTGGGTTAACGGTAAGCCAGCCCGCTGGGTCGTCCAGCAGTGCGAACCTGAGGAATAAAACACGCCGTAAATCCCATAATAGGAGACCAATCATCAACCCCAACCCAACCGATCATTCATTAACACAGAATGAAATGTAGCCAGTGAGATTATTTACACACATACTGTCTAAGAGGGTCAATAAACCAATGATTATGCTGTTAGTAGCTAAAGTATGATTGTGATGTATGTCACGTAAATATAGTGAAGTAGTAAATTGTGTATAATTTTTATGTGAGGAACTAATGTAATGCACTTCAACCCTCTCCATTAGGGATGATGCCAAAGAGACACATCATAGAAACAAATCACAGTGGGAAAACACAAAGATCTCATGGTTGATATGATCATGCCCTAAACACACAGCAAGACAATGATGCAAAACAGACAAGGAGGGGCCTGTATCACGAATGCAGGGTTTCTTGCTGAGCCAGATAACTTGCCGGATTTAAGGAAGTCTGGTCTAAAATTACACAAACAAAAATAAAGTTAATTTAAACTGGGGTACATTAAAGTTATCTGGCTAAGCAAGAAACTAGGCTTTGTGACACAGGCCCCTGGCCTATTTCATACTTCCAGAATAAGCAGGATAACCCGAGAGCCGCCGGCGTGTTTTCGACCGCCTTTAACCACAAGTGGCAACGTACTTCTGCGTACTGTATCAAACCTTTCATCTTTGTTAATGGGCCATTGTATTAACATACCGCTCACCCATCAAGAAAACAATGGAACAGTCAGTAATCCTCCTAGCAGCCGAGTTACTGTCACCTCAAAAAAGCCATAAAACCCATAATACAGTCGAGTTCATGTCACATGTTTTTGTGAGTATTCGATAGATTAATCGGTGCCACTTTACAATAAGGCTCCCCATATAAAGGGTTTAGGGATGGTTTATAATCTGGTTATTAATTAGTTTGTAACATTTTGTAAATTATTAATAGACAAGTTTTCTTTTTATTAATGAGTTACTACCATTTACCAGTGGAAAAATAGAGCCTTATTGTAAAGTGGTAGCGATTAATCTTGTGAAATTAATCTTAATAAAACAAAAGCCTCGCTTTAACATAAATAGCAAAAAAATGATCACTTTAATCGGTATTACAATTGGGTATGGGCAGTCTTATTCTTTTGAAAAGATTTAAAAAATGACACAGGTAATGTTTTCTCATATTGATTTTATATCTGTTGGGGCAGCAACGCCAACGGAACGGCGAGCCGCTTCAGACGAAAACAATTCACATAAAACGTCAAATGAACATTTCAAATAAACCGTACATTTGTTAATTAAGTGTTTCACCTGGGTTGATTTGTATATAAAAAAAAAAAAACGTTACTTCATGCAGTTAGTAAAAAGTGGAAACTTCAGCGAATATGAAATCACAGATAAATTACGTCTATTATGCAGCATAATTCATTCTACGCTTGAAAACTTTTCAGCTTCACGATTCACAACAGAGCAGTCAGTCTGTTAGGAACCATACGGCTTTTCGGTTGAGAGTGTTAGATTTGCTGCTGTTATTAACGCTAACGGCACATTAGCACAAACAAAAGAGCTGCAGACACCGAAGTACGTCTTGCTTGGTGGTTAAAGGAGTCCATTGGCGTGTCAAATGGCGCATCTAATGCTAATCAGGAAGGAACAGCATTGAAACCCTTGAAGACCTCTAGTAGGTTCTTATTTTAGGACCAGAAGTGAGCAGAAGTGGATATGGATGGAGGGCTGGGCCAAAATTCTCCCAGTGCATTGTGGGGGATTGACATAAATACAGGAAGGGGGTTGGTTTCCTTGCTGCTAAACGTGGTTTAAGCAGATAATGAAAATGAGGGAATGATTATTTTTTCCATGCAGAGAAATTGGGTGTCATATGCCTTCATTAAGTTTCAAAATGTTATGTTCACTTAGATTTCCTTTTATGCTACTGTCAGTTTTGATCGAGGTTCTGATAAGATTAGGTTTTGGTATGACGGGGCTAATTAAGTAAGATTTATGGGAAGAATGTTGCTAGGCGGGGGATAAAGTAAGGACTCGAGTAATCGAGGGGTTCATGTAGAAGAACAAGAGAGACGTTTCTGTACGGGATAAAGTCAGAAGCTAACGTGTGATTTACAGCTAAACTCCAGTGTGCCGAACATGCTCAGGAGGGCGTGCAGGAGATAATGGCCCCACTTCGTGGAGGAATTTGGTGGAGCCCGAACACTAACCCACGTTAACAAGCCGCTGACAAGGGGCCTGTTCAGCTGGATAGGCCTTGGAGGCCCGGAAATGGGGCATCCACCCAAAGCAGACAGAGCGCAGCTGATGGGACCTTTAAAAGCCTGTCACCGCGCACCGACAAAACCTGTTGGCATTCCGGCCGCAAGTCTGCTGCAAGTATATGGACATGGACATGGGCCATAACCATAATAACAACTGTGACACCCTTACCCCCCGCCCAGCCCTAACCTTAACCATAAGTAGCCAAACAGAATACAAGGCTTCTGGCATTTTTAGTGTTTTTGATTGCAGTCACAGATTTTTTTTTATTGAGTTTCCCCTTGTGGGGACCGAAGAAAATGGTTCCCACAAGGTAGAAAGTTACAAGTTTTTTATCACATTGTGGGGAAATGTAGTCCCCGCAATGTAATAATTACAAACCAAACACACACACACACACACACACACACACACGCTTACCCATCGTCCATATGTATTTATTTACACATTTCCATTTCTATCTCTATTTTTTATTCCATTTGTACTTCTGTCATGTTTGTACATTTAATTCTCTACCTCATGCCACCCCCTGCACCAAAACAAATTCCTTCTACTTTTCACTCTTGTCAAATAAAAGGATGCAGATTCTAATTATGACTCACCGTTACTAAAATAAGTAGTATGTAAGAGGAATTAAAAAAAAATAATCAAAGCTCTGGCACAAAGAGGCATTGGGCACAAACATGCACACATAGGAAGTAGGAGGAAGTAGGAGCAGAATACGTGGCATGGAGAGCGAGAGCAGAGGAGAGAGGGAGAAGGATGAGAGGAGGCGATGGTGGGGTGGGGTGGGGTGGGGGTGTAATATGTTTGTCAGCATTCTGTTGAAACTGCTCAGTAACGGCAAAATTGTGTTTGAAACAAGGGATGCCTGGTTAACAGAGCGCAACAAAGTCTGGGGAGATGGCTTTATAATCGACCCCCGGTCTCTTCCCGTGCGAGAAGATCTCCGCTATCTCTGCCGATGGCTTCCTCTCCGCCTGCACGATGGCACTTATAAAGACGTCATCGCACACGCGTCAAAACACACACGTGTGGCACAGAGAAGGCAACATAGCTTGAACAAGTGCTGCTGTCCATAAGAGCTACAGAAGTCACAGATGACTAATTAGAAGTGACAATGCAATTATTGTCTGAGCATACATGACCTTACAGCACTGAGGCAGAAAAATGTGTACAATTATTTTAACTGCAAAATAAAACATTGTAGCATTTTATCAATGTGTTGCAATGTGAATAAATTTCTTTGAGGTGAAAAGGCATTCTTTTAGTGAGCATTTGTGTAATCCAAGAAGGATAATGGTTTGCTAGAGGCAAAAAATATTTTACCCATGCATTTATGTAACTGAGCTTGTCCATGGACACATCCTATTATAGATTTTCACTAAGATGACTGTTACTCAGACTAGCCTTCAGTGGATAAAGTTCTTACAGTATATCCTCTGCATTCCGACACCCACGGATACAGGTCTTGCAGCTTTGTGCACCCAGCTTGATCAAGGGCACAGGACAGAGCTACTCAATCCACAAACATGGAGGGTTTGTCCTGCTCCAATGCCAGAAAAACCATGGATGGCCCCTGGAGGATGGGTTCCCCCTTTGAGTCTGGCCCCTCCCAAGGTTTCTTCCTTCTAGGGAGTTTTTCCTTGCCACTGTCGCCCATGGCTTACTCACTGGGGGCTTTGGGTGGGGATGCTGTAAAGCGCTTTGAGACAATGTAATGTTGTGATAATGCCCTATACAAAAATAAATTTGTTGTTGTTGTTGATGTTATTAAAATCCATAGACACATCATGGCACCCATGAGTTGAAGTCTGTGGCCTTGGAAAGTGAGGTGACCCAATCAGTAAGCTACCACCATGACGTTCACCAGGAGATCAGGTATAAAGATGATGTCGATGACATCATGGCAGTGCATGTACAATGGGTATGGAGACTGGATGGGGAAGCGTAGTGCATGGATCCAATGAGATCTTGCTGTCTTTGGTGCTAATGCACAGTTGGGCTTGAGGTAACACCAGGACTGCGTGTTCAGATCTCCATGGCAGGGCTCACTTCAGTTGAGCTCCTGTGAAATGTTGTCATCTTGAAGCCTGCGCTGTGGCATGATGCCAAAGCGCTACCTACTGCCTATCTGGGAGGTGGGCAAGCCCTCAGGTTTCTCCCTGGCCTCTGGGGCAGGCCGGTAAGGCCGCTTCGGGCACCGCAATGCAGCAAACAGGGCTAATCTCCACAGCTGCGGGAGGCCAGCAGAACACACTCTTTCCCAAGCCGAGCCGAAGTCGATGGTGCCAGATTACAATTACCACCGCCGTCCAGGGCACGAAGAAGGCCGACTGGCAGGCGCTAATCCGCCAGTCAGCTGGCGGGCCCCGTGGCCTGGATCTGGGGAGGGAAGACAAGTGGCCCAGAGCTGCCAAAGCTGGCCCACAAGCGTGGTGACCCCACTAATCCAACTCTCATCGTGACAGCCAGACCCCTACGGGAAAAATGCAGCTCAGCCACTCAAAATATATAATTATATGTACATAAACACAACACAAGTCTGTAACTCTTAGCGACAACACATCAGCATTCCACAATTCAGTTTGGTATTTACCGACATGGCCGGGGAGCCATGTCACATGGAGTGTGCTGGAAATTAGCATGTACTGGGTTGTAAGGTGTGAGCTTGTGACTGGTTCTGGAACAAGAGGGGCTGAATTAATCACCTGACCGGCAACCATGCCAAGAGACTTAAGGTGGGGCGAGGGT